GCGCTCCATAGCTTCAACAGAACCGATCAGCGCCACCTCCTCTCCGACGACGAAAACTCCAGTAGCGAGAATGAAATTCTAAAGATGCATTAGTGGTTGATTCGTGGCTGTGATTTAGAAATTACTGACATCTTTTTAACAATACAAACTTCGAAATTGAGTTGATGCAAGCTCTGCACAACATCATTTTGCCAAAACGATTCTTGACTTATCTGTTTTTTTGTGTAAAAGTATCAGAAGTTAGTGCTATACCTTTTTCTTTTTGTTTCAAGGTGCTCTTTTGATTGGTTTACCTTGAACGTCGATTTGAAACCTTTTGCGAAAATAACCAGCTGTGCTTGCGTCTACGCTTTTTTCCCGTTTTTGTTTTTCCTGATGTTTTTGTTGTGTGTTTAAGTACGAGTGGTAAAATGGGTTTGAGTTGAAAGTCTCATAAAGTATCTTTTAACGACACCTAAGTCACTGCGTTTTAATAGCCAGAAAACGCAGAGGGATCATAAAAACTGAAACTTGGGCAAGGAACGAAACCGTCTTTTGGATAAATCAATTTACCTGTGTTATTGCATACGTGTAGTCGGAGTGGTGCATGACTAATGCGAGCGTTGGTTAACGCCTTGAGTTTGAGCTAGTTAACGTACAAAAAAACTGAATGGTCATAGGAAAAAGGCGAGGTGACATTGGCAAAAGTGTGTGAGCAGACTAACGCTGGGCAGTGTTTCGGAGAATGCACCGACCGGTTTAATAGACGTTTGACGTCTCAACTACGCCACGTGCACTGCCACTTCTTTATCCTTTAGCAAGAGTTTGCATCAAAAGCATTTTGAGCATGCCACCACATCTGCTAAAATAAATACCCCTTATTTCATTTTTAAAGCAATCAAATAAAGATTCCAACCGGCTATAACACTTGTTTAAATGTGTTGACTACGATCTCTGGAATGCGATTTGTAATTGGATTGTCACATAACTGGTGCAGGTTGGTAATTTGATTGATCGGTACCTGTGAGGATACAATATGCAGGAGCATAAATTCACGACACTGTCGTTAAACTCGGCATGTGAAATATCAGGCGAGTAGGAATTATCGTTGAATAATTGTACTCAAGATATATTTTAGAAAACCTCGTGAAGATCGTAGTGGGAACTCGAATCCGATTGATTTTTTTTCGAATGCACTTCACGTAGCGATGTTCACTCATCGATCGATATCAGGCGTTCGTAGAATTATTGACGTCATTTTGTGTTCGTGTTCTTCGTGATGTGCCTAGCCCCCACAAACTGGGAGCGCAGCAGTTTTTTTAAGGCATTGGTTGTCGTCTCAATTTATTTCCAGATCAGATTAATACCTAAAGCAAGCAAACAACAGATGACTGACTCACAAATACCTGCTTTCGGTATTTGTGAGTCATATCCTCACGGAAGGTCCACACGATTTGCTACTGATTGACTCGAAGTAGCCAAAACACAATATGAGCAAATGCACCAAATCAGCAGATTATGGATCTCTGAATTATACCATGGGTCCATTCCAAAGATTGACGATTTTTTCCCTGAATTGAGACAGTACAAAGTTGACTTGAATATTCAACCTTACCTAGGTACATAATCAGATACCTGTGGGCTTAAAATACGCATGCAAAACTGTCGTCATTACTGTGGTCTAATTATTTTAGCTTCTTCTAATTTCTTTCAATTAACGTAAAGCATTCTACGTGAAATTGACTTAGTCTATGTCTGTTTCAACGAAAAGGACGAACATTTGTTACATCTGCTACGAATTTTCATCCGGCACTGCATCAAATCCACACAAAATATGTCTTATTTTGGGTGAAAGGTGTTGAGTTTCCAAAAAGAAATCACACCGTGAATGAGAAAACAGCCACGATGGGAGATTTTTAACAAATTTTTGAAATATGGAGCTTGCAATGATCTAATTGCTTCAAATGAATCCCAAGAAGTCGACGTCTACAAGTCTAGAACATAATTTCAAGAAACAACGCATGTTTAAGCAAATCTTATGAATTTGTACTACATCAGATTAAAAGGACCTCTTGTACTGCCAACCCCATTCGGTTCTTCAGACTATCTTAGACGCTGCTTCGTTAGCTAACTCCGTACATTGCCAGATCCGAAATCAGCATCCCACTTGGGCACTGATTCTGAATCAGTTTTTATTGATTTAAAATCCATAACTGTCGAATCCTGATTGTGAAATACAATGGGATCATGCTCCTGTGCAGTAATCAGTGAACAGCAAGTATGTCTATAAAAGACGATTATCCGCGATTTCTGGTTACGAAGTGTGGCTACCATCGGCGGTTCTGAGCGCCATGGTTGAGCTTCAACCAGTCTTGACATAGGTTCCGTCAGTATAATGGCTTCCACCAAACATCGGACAACGTGGTGAGACTGATCGATTACCTTGATTACCTTCGTTTCATGATTATCGAGAAGAGGCTTTATGAAATCGACCTTCCAAAGGACATGTTAAAACACCAAACCGATGGCTTGCTTCTTGTCCCTGTATTCTGTTACTCTCCTTAAATTGTGGTGGAATTAGAAGTCTTCACTATCGCTTTGATATTTCCGCATAAATTTAGTTTAAAGGTACAATCTAACTGGGCTAAGATTGCTCCATATGCTTGCATTTTCTGGCTCAACTTGACTAATCCCTTGATCTCATCGCTTCTTCGAGTAATTCATCCCATAATCTCCTTTACAGCTTCCACACCGGTTTCCGCCTCAAATGCCATACAGCATTCGATTGAATTCAGGGACTTTCCTTTAAAAACTATTATAGTTGTCCTTATTGTGGGTCCCAGCGTGTGGTCTTGAACCACGCCGGGGCCACGGAATCAACCCTGGCCCCAATTACGCTTCCCCGATACCCGCGATGAAGAAAAAGATCGGAGAGGATGTGGACACAACTTTTTACCGCAGAGCTCAACCACGTTGGGTCGTTGAGTCGTGTGTGGGGTTTGCGCGTATGTATTTATACCTCGGATGTGTGATTCATACATGCACTAACATCGAGACCTAGGTGTGAGGATGGTCCAAAATAAATACTCTTGTGAATGAGGGGGGAGTTGAGGATCCGCGCGGCTGGCGACATGCTGCCAATTGGGGAACCCTTTGTCTGAGGTGGAGCGACCGGGTTAAGGGGGTGTGAATAAACACGGTTCACAATATTCTAAATTCTGCATGCCTCAAGGCTTGGTAGTACTTTGGGTCTCCTTAAAAAAATTTAACTTTTGTCCTTGATAAGTACGACATAGAAGGGAGAGTCTGAGTGGCATCAAGGTTTCGTACTTCGATTTTACCAGCTGTAACTTTTAAAGTTCTAACCCCTTCTAGACTTTATGGAGACGTGATTTGCGTGTTCCTTATGTAAACAATAATGTTCTGCTGGCGAATTAGCCGAAAAGACAGGTGGATTGTATTCATCCTTATTTTATCTCGCAGCAGATAACTTTGTAAATAACAAAGATGATCTAGACGGTACTCAAATTACGGTTTGCTATTGGCTGAGGCACTGATTGAAAGGTGTTATTGCCGAAGCCAGTGTAGTAAAACTACAGCCTAAAAATCGAAATGCCACATTATCATTCATTTTCTGAAAAAATAAACTGGCCAAGACCCATTCCTGGAGGTCAACATGAGAACGACTGCCCAAACAATTCCGTCACCTAGTAATCGACGCGATTTCACCAATTTTACCGATCATAAATTCTTTATTTCAAAATTTCGCGCAAATTTGGTCGGTTTATCCGCTTGAAAAATAAGATGTCACCAACAAAATGTAATTACACTGCTCCAAAATGTTCACTTTCCTTACAGTTAAAACGCCTCAGCTTGAGCGATTGAGAATCGGTCATCTGGTGTAGCATTTGGTATGATGTTTCCGTAACACGTTTGTTTTACTATACAAAACTTGTTGCAACACTGATTGAAGTTTCCTGATAGTGACACCCGAGTGTATTTGTCATATGCTTCTACTGTTCAACATTTAATTTTACCTCAACTAACTGATATGCTTTTTAGCATAACCGCAGTAAAAATTCAACACACCTTATTGTTCCTCTGTTCTTGGACTTCATTTCGAATATACACCATCGCTTGTGCAGGTGTTATTGCTACTGAAGATTGAGATTAAGTAAGTCAATGGTTATCCAGAGACGTTAACGCCTTTTTGACAGTTCCATTCTGCCACTGAGCGCAGACCAAATGACAGAGCGACTTGTCTGGACCGATTTCGATGAAAAAACGGTTTCCATAAAAGGGGATTTGGTTAGAATTCGACTACTGCCTCAGCCTTTTCGGACGTAGTGCTTGATGGTCCGCTACCAAAAGCCAGATGCAAGCCTCTGAAGTGGTCGAAACCCAGTTTAATTACTCTACGGGACTGAGTTCACACAGAAATCTGTACCTTACAGGACGCAGGTACGTGAAAAAATGGACTGACATCTTCAGCTCCATGTTCGGTGAAATGACCAAGCAAGACTTCGTGGAATTGCTAACACAAAAAAACAGTAGTATTTTGCCCTAATGTAATCGTTCAATTTTGCCTCACTGTACTCTTTGCGCAAAAGTTCACGTCACAGACGGATGCACGATTTTCGATTTACATAACTCGAAGAGATTGTTGCCGGTGGTTCAAAAGCTAATGCTCTGTCAACGCTGTTGGATGACTAATCATGATATACGGGACTCTTGTCAGCCATAACACGCAGGATTATTAAAGACCGCGATTAGTTCTCAAATTCGCTAAAGGATTTTTCCGTCTTCTTCCGACTAAAAAAAGAAGAGAATAAAGGAAGGCAATGTTTAGCCTATCCACAAATTATCCTTATCTAATTTGGCCATCTTCCCGCCTTGTTTTCCTAAATGCGGATTATTTTTTTGTTCATTCGTCTGCTTGCCAGTCACCAAGTTGGTCAGACTGGTGAAACATTCGTCTTGTTATTTCCGTATAATCCTCTGTATTACTCTTCCGTTTTTGCTAAAACATTACTTTTTTGTATATTTTCACCGTAAAACACTCACTAGTTACTCTACGTACTGTCATACTTTTTATTCTCTAGCATAAATGCTATAGAAATTCAACATACCGGAGCGTATGTGCACAAATGCTTAAGCAGGTGCTAGTTACATCAAGAAATATTATTCATTATTGCGAAACTAGAAAGCTAAAATTATTGATGCTGGTAAAGCCAATCAGCACACAGCCAGTTCTTAATGCAAAAGGCTTGTTCTCATAATGCACTTAAATATGGGAATGACCGGATGACGGTAACATATCCTCAAATTGGCATTGCTTATTATGCTGGTAATAAACTACTTAAGTAATACTTGAACTTGAATCAGCATTTATAATAACTGCAAAATAAACCAGTGAAGGAATATATAAAGCACGGTTGCCAAACCTAAATTCTGGGTAAAAGAGTTGCTTAATTTCCGCAAAAAAGCATTTAGTGATAGTGGAGAACATAGTAACCTGACAGGAATGACTCACTAAGCAAGTTTATATGCCGGTAGATAAGTGAAAGAGGTAAAATACATACGAATGTGGATTTTGAAACTCAGATTGAGACGCAACTTTAAATGACGGAAGATTTTTGTTCATTTTAACTATAATCCAGAAAATAATCATCAATAACTGTCAGTAAAGCAATCCACACCAACGAAATGTGGTTCTAACACTAGAGAATATCACATAGCTGCATTCGTAAAAAATTGCATAATCTCAAACAGATAACACAAGTAACGATTTCTTTTTTGTTTTAGCAAGTCTAAAGTAGCTCATGAACCCCATTTCTACATATATAGCATAAAATTATACCAATTAGTGATAATAGAGATAGGGCTTAGGTTACTTCATTAACGCACAATTTATTACTGGAATAAATGAGAAAATTGCATTTGATATCAGTTTATACCAGTTATTATGGTCTCATTGATGTAAATTTTAATACAAAAAATTAACATTTATTAGATTAACATAGAAAACCTTCTAAGCGACATTTTATGTCTACTATAATAACATGATCGATGATGATTTTAATTATATAATTTTGCAGTTAATCTATAACCTTGACTTGCAAAAGCCAATGAAAGCGCAGGTCTGAGAAGCTCTGGTGTTTCTTCACATTTAAATCTTGTGTGTGAACAGTTGTAGTCTTTATTTTATCGTTTCCGTGATAATGAGCCGTCGTGAGTCCAGGCAGACGTGCACACATTCGACCACTGACATTGCAATTCAAGCGTAAGTTTAATATTTTTGTGTTGTAGCGCTGTCCGTGTACAAACTATTTGTTCGTATTGTAGAAATTTTCCCTAATAATTTACCAAGTATGTAGCTCTGGAATAGGCAATACTTTACTTTATATTCAGGAGCGATTTCGATAATGGAATTATTCCGCAAAACTAGACCTGAAATATTTTATTGATCTGTTCATTTTTTGCATACTTTATTTTATAAATCCAAACGTTCTTGTTCTTGCATGCAAGTAATATCATAATCCATGTGATTCTAAGCTACGCAATCTCGAGGTATTGACTGACGCTGTGCTTTTGTCGTTTTTCTACTTTCTCCATTCTGTTTTTTCACTTTGATTCAAACTTGTTTTCGATTTTCTCTTTTCACTTTTATGGTTCTGTGACCTAATTTTAATTTTTTTGACTGCACACAATTGTAAAGAAATCGCAGAATTTCAAGCCATTACATTTCACCGACAACATATTTCACCCTAAGTAATAATTTGCACACTTTGTTTAATCCTAAGTTGAGCATTTGTGAAAAACTGTCTTCAGTCGTTTAACGGCGAATCATCACACTCTTTGGAATACGAACAATCTTTGGGAAATATGACGTAACAAGTCTTGTGAAAGTTTCTCGTTCTCGTTTTTGATGCAAGCCTCAGAAAACAGCTTTTGTGTCATGGGATGTAAAAATGCAATAGTATAATAATGGCGGTGGTAGTTGCGCAGAAAATTTAAGCAAATTGTCAGCTTATATCTCTAGATTTTATAATGAAAATTTCATATCAACGACCCGAATTAGCGATGGATCTCGTAAGTTTTTTTCTGATTGTCCAATTTAAGCAAGTCATAGTCCTTCTCATTGCAAAATTCGAAGAAAAATGATAGTGCATTTTTGAGAGTGATTTTCTGTCTATTAAATGGAGGAGGTTATGGATGACGATTTATTCGGATAGTTTTTAGTTCCACACAAAATCTTTACCGATCTGTTGCTACGACAATTCCCCCTTTGTTCCGGTAATACCTTTTTGCTCACAATGTCTTTGAGCTCTTTTGATATTTTTTTCAGTGTACCATGTAGTATTGATCGTGCTGACGAATTTTACTTAAGACAAGGCTTCATGTAAGGATGGCTCTATACTGGTTCGTGTAATTTACTAATTGCATTTGTATTCGAAATTTTTCTGACTAAGCCAACACCGGTAAAATTTAAATAGGTGATCCTAAGCCTGTTAAATGTTGTGTGGTAACGTGTGTAGCGATCCCACCGCTCGCGAAACTTGTTTTCGCGTGTACGTGGCATTACGATTTTTCGCTGTCGAATCGCTTTCTTTCTTAATCAATAAGACACACTGCGTCGGAAGTTGTTTTAGTGACTGACGTTATCAAACTCATAAAATCGCGCTGAGGTGCAGTGCATTCTTGATTGGCTGTTGACGTGCACAGTCATTTGGTAAGTTGTGTGCCGCCTGGAATTCCCTACTCTAACGGATACTTGTTTTTCTGTTACTCGCATTGGTGTTATTTAACTCTCTTCCGTGTGTGTTCAGAACATCTAACTGGTGTGTATCTCCCCCTATCGCTTTCCGTAATCCCAGTTATTGCAGTGCCGATTCAAATGCCAAAAACCGTGTTATTCATAGTATTTTACGCAAAATCGCACACAGTCATCGTAGTCTGAAAACCCAGCCACAAATACTTACCATAAAACGCCTGACTTGACAGTCACCAAGCACCGTTTTGTTAAAATGATCCCTGACCGGCTGTTCGTATTGGTTCGCTGTGTGTTAGTGTCACGTTGATCCACGTTCACCAATAATTGGTGGCCAATAGGAATTGGCCTGTGCCGTTCCTGCGCCAACCAATCACGAACAAATTGCCCTGCCTTGCCACTCGGTCCCATACGTGCCTTGGTTCCTCAGCTAGCCGTTAACACGCACATTCGCTACATGTAGGTCAAACAATTTTGTTTTTCTAAAACTGGCATAATTTTTTTCTCCCTCCCTAATAAACCCCATCGTAATTCGCAGTCTAAAAGTTTAAGATCAGGCATCTTGTCAACACAAATTCAGCCTTTAGACCATCCGAACCACGTGAAATGCACACCATAAACTCAATTTTTAGTTCAATTTTTGCCATATTGAGAATTTTATGGAAGCTCAGAGAGCGTCAAAGCTTCTTTAACTGAAGTTATCGCATTGAAATCTCAGTGTATTTGGGTTTTATGTATTGATTTTTAGGACAGACGACGCCTCCGAATCGGAGAAGGAGCCTCAGAAGCAGGAGGAGGTCTACGACTTCAATTCGCCCTTCCTCTTTAGCGACATGGTGCTCCTAGTTGAAGACGAAAAACTCCACTGTCATCGGGCCATCCTCTCGCTTTATTCGCCTGTCTTCAAGGCCATGTTCCAATCGCGCTTCGAGGTAAAATTCCGCTCCAACTCGCTTCAATGCTCTTCCACGTCACTACGTGGGATGGCCACATTGAATTGAGCAGTGCGCTTTGTTGTGTGGATCGTCTAAGCGGATTTTCATGACGTGTAACTTGCTTTTTCCTGTAGGAGACTTCAGCCAATCAGGTCTCTCTCCCCAAGGACGAAGCTGCGACCGTTCGAGAATTGCTGCGCCACCTCTACACACCTGGAGGCTGCGATATGGACAGTAAGTCGAGTGTCCTTGCAACTACTAACCCCTATTCATTGCACTGCGTTTGTACCCCTATTGGGTATTGTTGTTTGGCGTGGTAGCCATAGCAACCGATTCTGATGTTGCAGATTTGGTCAGGAAAAAAACTGGGCTATAGAATTCGAGTTGCTTGATTTGTGATCTAGCGTGGCACCACAAGGCGAGTGACTTAAGTCTATTCAGTAGTATAACGCGAATAGGTTTTGCAATTGGCGGTATCAGCGGTGGATCTGCCAGTAAACACAGATCCAGACAAATTAACGTATTTTTTCCACTAGGTGCAGCCGCACAGCGACTTCTCCCGCTCATTCATCGCTTCCAGATTGAGTCTCTGATCACGACGGCGGAGCGAACCATGACATTCAGCATGACCGATTCAATGGCACCGAAGATGCTGGCGTTGGCAGATCTCTACCAGCTGAATCACCTCAAACAGGCCGCCATCGACGCCTGCACACGCCTTGACATGAATCGCATGACAGAGGCCCTCGAAGAGACGCCTCTCTCGCCTGAGCTAAAGGCCACCATTTTCGGGTGTGTTTCAACTTGAGGCGCTTTTTTTAAGTTCCCCGCATCACTAGCCAATCAAAAAATGGCGGGGATTTAAACCTGCCGTGGCCAGCCAATCAGGTTAACCTGTGCACCTGGGGTAGTGTTGAATCCCCTGACTGACTCATTGATAAAAATGATATTAATTTTCAGAAAACGAGTCTGCCTTCTGGAGAAAGCGATCTCCGATATCGAACGCAGCTTCAGCCAATCGTGTATTCGAATGGAGAGCAAACTGGAGCGGGTTTTCACGAACCACTGTCAGCTACACAATAAGCCCCTCTCCAACACCACCGTGCCCATCAGCTTCCAGCTCAACAATTCCGGCCGTGGCGACGCCGATCGCCTAGTCATTCGACCTGTGACTGGGTCCAGTGACAACGGCCAGGCCGCGCCCGATGCCAGTCGATTGGCGACGGCGGCAGCGGCGACGCCGCGTCTGACCACACGCATCCTCCAGTCGCCAGGGGCGACGCGTTCCGCTGAGGTGGATGCCTCGGCCAGTCAGGAGGACGCGGCTGGCGAGGCCTCCGCTGTGACAACCGCGGTTGTGGAGGTTCCGGCCATCTGCGAGGGCTGCGTCGACCGCATCTCCATGCACATCAAGGAGATCTGCCGACGCGCCCTTCACAAGGCGCACTTCGTGCCCTACAAACCGCCTGCCACTGCGCTGGCCAACACACCGCCAACCTAGTGTGCTTGCTTGTGATACGCACCCACCCCTCCCCCCGCCCCAAACTGAAACCCTCATTTTTTGATGTGCCTCTCATATTGCCATTTTTCTTTTCATTATTTAAACATGGCTTGCCTTCATGACAACAACAAACACAATGATGAAACTTAGTCCTGCATTTCTCGCCTGAGCTTAAGGCCACTATTTTCGGGTGTGTTTCGTCTTAATACGTTTTTTTTAAATTCCCACACCACTAGCCAATCAAAAAATGGCAGGCATTTAAACCTTCCATGGTCAGCCAATCATGTTCGCAATAAGTTAACTAGTGTACATGGGGTTGGTGTCGAATCCCTTGAAATTTGACAACTGTTTTTTAACTGACTCAGTGATTAAAATGATTTTTATTTAAAGAAACCGAGTCTGCCTTCTGGAGAAAGCGATCTCTGACAACAAACACGGTGATGAAACTTAGTCATGCCTGGATGTTCCTGGTCAAGTTGGGCATTTCGTGTGAGAGTTAAGACTTAGACCAGCTATCGTGCCCCCATCACTGTTGGTACCTAAAATTTTCCAATTCAATAACCATTGTTACAACCCGACCCTAGATTCTCTCAGCCGCAATTGGTTAAATCTGACACCTAGCTGTTTTTCTATTGGGTGATTTGAATCTCTGGGCGACCAATGAGGCTTGTCCAATCCGTGTGAAGTTCATTTGGCCCGCCTTAATTCCCTCTAAATGTAGTACATGATGTGCTTCTCATGTTGCCGCCTTTTTCATTATTTAAACATGCCTCAGCTTCATGACAACATACACGGTGATGCAGCTTAGTCATGACTTGATGTTCCTGGGCTGGTTGGGCATTTTGTGTGAAAGTTAATACTCAGACAAGCTATCGTGTCACTTTGTTTAAATGAAGTCCCTGTTGCCGTTACTACCTTACACGATCGAAAATCGATCAAACTGCGGTTGCAGAAGTTTACTCAAATAAGTCAAATGTGTTTAAACTCGGCAACAAGCGAAGAGGCACGCATAGGTGGATCAAACGCACGTCGGGTTATTGAACAGGCGAATGACAGATTGGACAATTATGCATCCGCGAGATCTCAGCTTCGTAGGCGCTGTGTTTGCACACCGGACACATCCAAAATTGGTAGTCTGTCACGGGCTGGCCCGTAACCGCGCAAATAGGCACTTTGGTCTCGCTAAAAAAAAGAAATTTTGCAAAGAGTGACAATTTGTTAGTCAATATTATCGAGCAGAGCTGGTTGGCCACGATTTCTGGTAACCGTGGGAGACATCGTTAAAAGTAATAAATGCGCGTGCGATCGGGTGTGTGGGGGTGGTGAGTCATGGCCAATGTCGACGTCCGACCTCCTTCATATATTCACCTTGAGGTCAATGCCAAACGGCAGCGCGTCTTTCAAGCTTCATTTTGCGGTCTTAGTGACACGTAAACTTGGACTCGGTTGAGCAGAAGGTTAAGACGCAGCAACGGTTGCGAAATGTGCTACTGGAGAGAGCAGCACCACAGGGGTTTAGCGCAAAGAACCACACAATTTTTGCCTTGTTTGAGTAGCACAAAAGGCTTATTTGCGTGTGTGTGTGTGTGAAGAAGTTGGTAAGGCCCACATAGCACGGCACTTCACCCGTAAATAATGCGGGTATGCACGCATCAACTCGTCGTTGAGGTGATGAGCACTGTATCTGACACACACACACACCCACACCACCTAGGTTAAGCGCTGTTCAAAAAAGCACTTATTTTTTTCGTTTATTAACTTTATCGAGTACGTTTCCAGTTTGTTCCAAGATAGCTTGGTACCTAACATTGTCCAATTCACAAACAATTGCCACAACTCGACCCTAGGGCCTCTCAGCCGCGATTGGTTAAATCTGACATCTAACTGCTTTTCTATTGGGTGATTTGAATCTCTGGGCGACCAATTAGGCTTGTCCATTCCGTATCAAATGCATTTGGCCCTCCTTACTTCCCTCTAAATGTGGTACAAGCATAGAATCTCGCAAGTATTGAGGATGAGTATAGGATTTAGTGTGTATGTCTCAGTAACAAAACGATTCCGTCTAGCGCATCAAGAAAAGCACTTTTTGGCTCTCATCATCACCATCATTACCGTCACTCCCTGGAATAGTACAATTGGCGTGGGAACTAACTTTGACTTGAATGAGTCACTAGGACATTGAAATGGGTTTAAAAAACGCGCGCGTGCGCGTCGCTACTGACTCATTGTGCGCAATTGAACAAAACAAAAGAACCCATGATGCGCTCACCTCTCAAGCATCATGTCCAATTCAATAGAGGCCGACGTCTTCAGCTGATTTTCTGGTGGATGTCTACAAAACGCGTGATCGGAAGGTGATTTTAAGTGGGCAAGAATTTTCCATGGTTTGACGACTGCTTCTGAACACGAATAGGCTTGTGGAACGTCGCCTTTGAGTATCATTTAAAACCAAAACTAAGATAAGAAGTATACTACTATTGGAAATTTGAGTAATAAGGACAACTGCAACGGGATATGTCCGTGGAACCTAAGAGGTGATTAGAACTGATCTTCTACAATTACCAGTCAACGATAACCAATGAGGTCTCTCTAGGCCTGCCTTTTCGACAACCTAATTTGACCTTGGCATGATCCAATCAGAACCGACCATGTGGGTTTTGAATGACATCAGAACAAGGAGTTTTAGGAATTATATAGCTAAGTTAAGCAGTAATTTTGGCTGATACTAATCGAGGAAAGCAACACTAACCTACTAAAAATGTCAAAAACCATGTCTTCCAACTTCTGTCGCTCCTTCGTAGACCACCCGCTGATGTTTTGCAGTTTCATGAACTCCTGCGAGGCCGTGGCAAAGGCGCTGGCCTTCAGCGCGCACAGAGCTGAGACGGGGAGTGGGGAAAAAAAGAAGAAAATCAGATCTACGTGACGCCGCCCAGCTGTCGTCCTGGGTCACGTGAACGCGTGTCTGTGTTCAGCGCGTCTGGTGTTGTGACCAATAGGAGCGCTTTTACTACTGCGGCGGGTAAATTACTTTCACGCACACGGCACATTGAATCACCCTACTCAACAACACCAACCGGTTTATTGTGAAGGGTTAGGTGTTAACAAGTCGTGTGTGACGCATTCATTGCAGTGTAGGCGGTTACATGGAACAGTGGTCATTTTTCACGCTATTTCTTTTTACCTCTTTGTTTTAATAGAACGACCTCACTCTATGGACAAAACGAAACACAAGAAGCAATGACGACTCCGCGCTCACAACGCTCTATGATGTGTTGGACCGCCTCCCAAGTTTGCCTGAAACACTGCATAATAATTTGTTTTAATAAACTGACTTCCGGTAGAATGCAATCCACTTCGGCCCACAGCAGATAACATGAACTTCTTTACATTACGGATCTTTATTGACGTTCTTACCTTCCGGTGTGTGTGTGTGTTGGGGTCTAAGCCACAACTGTTATTTACAGCGACCGTTAGTTAAACTAAGGTGAAAAATGATTGGCTAAACCGAGCAACGTGAAGGTCAAATTCAATTGGAATGACCAAAAAGACTTGGAGCACAACAACGGAGGGTTAATTTAACTGTGCAAGGCCAGTGAACTTGCCTTTCACACGTAAATGCAAAGTATCTAATTTAATTAGAACACAAACCGTGATGTGTGGGGGCAAAAATTTACCTGCACAATGAAGGGAAGAGTTGATAATTTAATTAATTAATTAATTAAGAAGAATCCTGCAAAATATTCACACAAATTAACTCAATCCATTACTGAATCCTCGATAATTAAACGACAATTCTCCTTTTCCAGGGGTGGGCTTGATTTGAAGACTAAACAATAACACACTACTTGCGCATTAAAGTAGCGATGATTTTATGAGTGTAATTGCAATGCAACGACAGTCGAACACTTTGAACATTAGAGGTAGGAAGTTGTCACGGATAGATAGCATTTTATTCCGGCCTTTTTGCGTACCAATAATTGAGTGAATCCTCCTCGGTTCAAAGATGTCATCGTAATCCCTGAGGAGAATCGCAGTGCGCAACGCCTGCTCATACATTTCTGAGTAGAGCTGTTTTTGCGAGAGCATCAGATAGTGGCACGCCTCTGCACCCCTCCACGGCTGATCGATTAGTCGAGTGACCTCGTAGGTGTTTAGGGGAAGCACGAGGGTGCGTTTGGGTGTACCAGTGTCCTCTGAGCAAACATCGAGTGCAGATTTCTTCTCCTGATGTCGAGGTCGTTCATTAATGAGTGAAACCTGTTCGTCCATAGCCCCCAGGTTAAATTGGGGGGAGTTATCTTCTTCGCCAGAAAAGAGTGAGTCATAATGATCGGAATTCTACCAGTGAAAAACCAAAAACATCTGAATATGCAAAAGCAGAAAAGTCTTACTACCTAAATTATTTAAGTACAAATATAATCAGCAAATGGCAAAGCAACAAAGCAAGGCAAGCAAACCTCAACTGAGCACGCATAATCGTGCATGCCTGGAGACGATTTCGGCTGTTCGTGATGTTTCTCAATGAGAATTCCAATCATGACGTACATTTTTTTCAGATTTTTCAAGGAAGCACCGCTACTTTGGGCCGTGCGTGTCTCCTAGTCACAGAAGCGTTACGCAATTGGCTACAATTTACCCGCAACAGTAGTCTCGCAGCATCCAAGTAGTAGCCAGCTCGTTTGAGAATTTCAACAGCGTCAAACGGATGCGAATTGTCCAGGAAATTGAAGACGGCGGCACGAAGTCGACTGACCAATCGTCGTTTGAGCGCAGCCCTGGCGGTCACGTCGTGTTCTACGGAGTCACCGTCCGGTGAAGATGGCACGTTTGTTAACTGGACAGCCAAACTCCAGTCGTTCAACTCTAGACAAACGTCTACAGCTTCCTTGAGTTTTCCGCACTTCAAGAGACCAAAAATACGCCTGCTTTTAATACTTAAGTACTTTGACACAAGGCGAATAACTGGTGGTTTGACTATTTTGTGGTACAACGCCTACTTAAAATTAAATAGTAGCCGTATTTATTTGTTTGCTTGCCTTGACTAAAGCGGCAGCTGCAGGTGTGGCGGAGGATATGCTTGAGAAAATTCGAGCAAGTTCAGGAAGCAAACAATGGCCTTCTGGGAGTTCAGTGACTAAATTTTCGAGAGTATCGTAGTCCTCCAAGCGGAAAAGGCAGCGGATTAACTTCGAGTACTCCCCACCTTGTCGATAGAAGTCAGCGGCTTGCGACCTAAGAGAATAAACCGCTAGGCGGACATGTTGCACAAGCAAGAGAGCATGCATTGCTAGAGCTAGTCTGACCAGCACTGTTTGTTGAAGTAGTGATCGCCAATGGCGTTCCAGACCTCTGTTAATTCGCGGTCGCGAACAACTGCGCCTGACTCCTTTGCCAATTGGGCGACGCGGAACCAATCGCCTAGTCGCTTTCTCAACTCAATTGCAAGGTCGCATCGATCGGCGTTGAGAAAAAGGCCTTCGGCGCCATCAAAGTCGTTGAAGTATGCACGAACCTCTGCCTCGATTACGAAAACGAATAAAATATGAGTGGACTAGTATTATCGATGGCATTTCCCAAATCAAGTTAATACGAAAAAGTGCTGCTGTAATTCTTTCCCTTTAGCCTGATAATAATGACAAGCTTATCCGAATTGACATACTCGAATCTTATTGGTCTACGTAGCTCAGTCTCATCTCCCATTGGTCCGCACACATAGCCAATCAAATATCTACCAGATCGACACTATTCCAATATTATGTGTCACGAGATTTGCAAAAAAACTTACACTACTTATTAAAATGAGTCACAACGGCCTACCATGCGCACGACCTCCGATTGAATGTTCCGGAGACGCTTGACAAAGTCGATTCCTTGGTAGTATTGACACATAACGAAGCCGAATTCAGCATCGGTCAAATTCAGGTCATGAAGGGCCGCTTCAGCATAAATTCGCCTGCAAAACACAAGATTATAAGAGGCCCTGAGGTTGCATTGTCATACCAAAATCGCGGATGTGGATGATTCTCAATGTAGGTCCTCGCTTTCTCCAACTGACCGTGTTCGATCAGGTTTCTGCATTCATTCAATGTCTAATTTATAAAAAAAATGTCGGCTTTATTCATTAATAATTGACAATTAATTGAAAATTTACAAGGCAGTACAGCTGACCCGGGTCGGAATACGAACGATGGATTCGGGTTTTGGATGTTCAAATTGTTGCATTACATCGTCCAATAGAACACCGACAACCTCAAGGTCACTGAAGCTTGCGATGTAGGCTGATGATTGGATAGCCGGTTCTGCCTCAGTTTCGTGGAAAAATACCAGTTTCGTCTTTTCCATCACTGCAAATGTTTTGGGATCATCCTAAGCATAAAATTAATGTGCGTTTACCAAGTCATTACGCAAATAGCAACACACTGACATTTTTCTGTCGACATTTTCGTTCAACTACTATTATCGACTTCAGTAGGACTGTGTTAATTTTGAAAAAAATACGTCGAAACAAATTAGCGGGCCGTGATAACGTACCGACGAGAACTTCAGATCCCACACCTCCCTGCAGGCGAAATCGGAAAACTTGGAATAATCCTGCGAAAGAGACGAATCATTATCTTGGCTCTCTGGTATAGAATGCAAAGTCAGAATTCCGTGTTCGTCAATAACACCAAGAGTGCTACAGGAATTTGGAAAAAAAAGCAAATAAATTAAGAAACGATGGCAATTTGTTGGTCGAGTAAGGATTCTAAAAATCTGCTATTGACATTGACATTTTCTGTCAAGCACTCATTCCATTGGCTCACATGCACCACGAGAGTAAAATTTTATTGGCTGTCAATGGCACCTTATGCGTCTGCTATTGGACAAACTGAACGTTTCAACTAACCAATAGAACTTGTCGTTGTTCGAATACTAAGAAATTGGGGACAGTGTTATTCAGGAGGCTAATAAATTCTCAAGTCAAAAGCATCTGAAGTGACAGTGTGTGTTAATACATGTAAAAGGCAATAGGAAAGACTGACTGCCAGGAAAAAACAAATCGACCAAGTGCCAAAAAAGCATCCACCAATCAGAAACATGCGGAGAGAACGTAACTTTTGAATTTGCGAAATATTACCAATCAGAAACAGTGGTGGCAGCTTGTTCGAAAAGAATAAAGGAGCAGTGGCCAATTTAAACTTGAGATGCTCATGTAATAAACGTAAGCCTTGGAAAATAATATTTGCAAATAAAATAAAATGAATCAAGAAATCTAAATGCCTTCAACACTTACGAAGAATCGCAATTAACCTCAATGCGCACAATCAGTTTATCCGTGACATGCACACACACTTCGGGCCATAACTCAGGCAGCCGGTAGCGAACCACGTCGCCGTTGCTACGGGCAACGAAGAGACTCCGAGCATCATTGGCTGTCATGGCAACAATTGGATTTTCGGATGGTTTAGCTCTTAAAAGCGACGCGAAAGAGTCGACGTTGGTGTAGGACGAGAGTGTCTGGGACGTTGAGGTGAGTGAATCGATGTTGAAGGGAGAACAGTCAGGTTTAAAGGCGAGAGAACCATCCTTGTGATCAATATGGCACATTCTGAAATGACAAGAAAGTGAGTCACATGTGATTGGCTGGTAACCAATGAAAAATTACCTTAGAATTTAATGACAAGAACGTGTCATCTCACCTTTGAATTCCTTCTCTAGGCTTGCTCCGTATTTTTGAAACCGAACTGATACCAAACAGCCCTCTGGGATTTTTAAATTGCCATAAAAAGATGAGTGAGTTGCTAGCTATCGCCACATAGGTTCCAACCATAACGGTAAACTTTGGCTCAACGTCAGTCATTTTGCAGTCGATCACCGAGCCCAATGTATTGTACACAGTGATGCGGTACTGAAAACCAAAAAATTACTATTACTGATAAAACGTCAGTAGTTATGTTATGTGCAGATTACAAACGTGATGGGAACTTACGGGCGGATTCGTTGAGGTGGCCCTTTCAGTGACACAGCAATAGTCCCCATCACCGGCAATCCCCATAAGATTTTCTACCGGTTTCAGGCGTGTCTGAAGTAGGGAAGGGAAAAATCGGTGAAATGGTAACAGACGGAATCCAGCTAAAAGTCCTGTTGCTTTATACTTGAAAGACAGGTTGCCAGCTAACCATGATCAAGGCAATTAGAAAACACATTGACTTTCACGAATGAGCTGCTACCTAAATAATTAATCAATGGAAACCTTCTTTTAATTGGTCAGATTCAAAACTATCAACAAATGGGGGCAAAAATTCATTTTTTGCGAACGCTACATGCTTATAAAACTCGACCGTCTACACAGCCTTAGCGCACTTAACGATTAAACTTACTATGCCTCGTTTAATGTCCCAAAACATGCCGATCTTGTTATGCGCTTCACTCCGGGTGAAGGCGTAGATAAGTGAATGTGCGTTAGGGGAGTACGTCCAGTGGTACTTAAGACGCAGATTCGCAAAGTAAACGTAGGAATTAATGGCGATTGCCAGTCGAAACGAACCAGCGCCCTCCCACGCACAGGCCGTCGGCTCTTTACCGGGCAGAGCAAGTGAATAAAGATGCTTAAAAAGACAATGCTTTTCTTTTAAATGTTTGCATAATGTTAGACCTTGCGTTGAACTATCATTATTTGACTTACATCTCCAAAGTTACTGTAAAACTGCATGATTCCAATATGCTGATTTGCTTCGGGTTGCGAATCACAGAGATACTTTTGGTGACCACCAATGGCGAGAATTGACCCATCCTCATTCCAGGCACAGCAATTTATGCCCAGACCAGTATCCAGCAAAACAGGACCTATAATCAAATAGATCTAGTGTTCTTTTACAAAGAGATTTATTGAAGTCACGCAACTCGCGACTCACTCGTGTCATTTTCATTTTTCATTATCTGGCACCTGCCGATGTCAAAGCAAACAACTAAGGAGGGGCTCGCTGAATCGAGGAGGTAATTCTCACCCTTGTACCAAGCAAAGCCTGCCAATGTAACCGCTCCATGAACATCATTCAAACAATAGATTGGGAGCTTGTTCTGAATGTCAGAAAATATGCGAATTGTAATACAAGAAACCCGTGAAAATATACGATGGCCACAAAGTTCTTCACATATAATAAGTATTACGTCGAAGATTTTTAGGGGGAAAAATTTGTCATTAACTTAGAAATACTGAAGTGCAGCTTACCAAGAAAACACCTAGAGAATCGTAAACGTGAACTTCCCCAGACAGCAATCCAAGCAACAGAGATCGACCATGAGGAGCCCATTCAACACAAACAAGTTCAGTGCACTTAAGTTCTTTGTGCCAAATTCTGTTGCCATCAACGGAACCCACAATCACTGCACCGTCTTCATAAGCTATGCAAATACGACGGCCTTCTCTATCCCACTAAAATGGAAACTGCATAAGAAATAACAAGTACACACCTTTAATCCTTTCACCCTTGATTTGTTCCTGTTATTGATCATTTCTTCATACCACAAACCTTTACACAGTGCCCACACAATTATGACACCTTCTTCATCGGCAGTTGTCAATTTTTCGAAACTGTCGTTCCATGTTATTATTTGTATTGTGCCTAGGCAATTAAGCCCATTTGTAACAAACATACTAGAGTGCCCTTTTAGTGTCTGATTCATTGATAGGTCAATCTGTGATGTCAATCCTTTAGTATTTTCGCATTTATTGACATCAAGTTTGAGCACTTTTAACAAGCCGCTTTCACCACCACAGGCGAGATAGCCATGATTCATACTCCATGCTATGGAAGAAACTACTTGGTTGTTTGGAATTGCGATCTAACATACATCATAAAGTAAAAAGGCAAACCTTTTTGCTCAAGTATGCAAACATTTTCAAAAATTACATGAGAAATGTGGTACACTTATCGTTGGGAATATTAGTGCATATAAACGAGTGATTTGGTCGGTAAAGAAGCAATATAGCTTAATAAATTAACAGTGTATATTTTATAAAAGTTTAAGTGAATCACCTATGCAATTAAATAATAAAATTAAACACTTAGTTCTTCATAAACGAGACTTGATGCACTCATTTGTTCATGAAGTTGACCACCATTCATTCCTAATTAATGTCTACCTATTTCAAGCCAGCTTGGAAACAAATTAAAATCAGAAGCTGACTGTTCCAGAAGCGGCTCATTTTTAAACGGTGAAGCCTGAATAATTTAGAAATTGTGTATTCCTATTTTTAGAAAAGAAATATTTCAAGAATGCTGCTGTGAAATATCATTTTTACGTAAATTCCAAACAGTCACATGTTCGTAGTGATTTTGCATAGTTTTTTAAGTACCATTTTTGTACTTTTTGTAAAAACATGCGCTTATAATGTCTGTCAAATATTGCCATTTACGAAACTTTGATCTTTCGCTGAAATTCGAAAATTGGAATCTTCTACACCATGTCAAGATTTGCCCATCCGATTATTGGTAGATGGCAAGATAAATTTCAGCCGTCACTTAATTAACACCTATAACACAAGTGGTACAACTGTCAATATATACCACCACTTGATTAAGTGCAACTCCAACGCCACAAGTCTGGGCGCACGTCGAGGTTGATAATCAACTAAATTACTGCCCTTAGAACACAGTGGCTCTGAAGACTAGATTTAAACGAAGCAGCACGAAGTACGGCAACTACGGATACGATTCCAGCGCGGCCATCTTGGCAAGCGTTGGGCTAATGACATCAAAGGAAGACTTCGAATGCTACATTTTACCAATATGACTTATCAAATCGTTTATTTTTCTCGTACGACGAAGAATGAAATCTGAAGAATAACTTTTCATAAAATCTCGAGCTAGCTGAATTGTCGCGAGGAATCTAAAACCTCCAGGGACACATATCTGATTGAAAAGTCACAAATAAAATTGCCCAAAAGGCATAAAAAATTTAAACTTTCAAACTGGTAAATAAATGCAATAATCCTTTTAGAAAGTCTCTCATTCTATTCAGCATCTTTCTTCTTCCTTTTGCCTTTGCTTCCTCGCTGGCTTTTAGGTCCACCATCGTCAGCCTTTCCATTAGAAGAAGAAGAAGCTGTGGTGGATTTCTTTGATGGCTTCTACAATAATAAAAAAAAACACGCAATCAACTAAGGTTCGCTCACTTCGGAAAAGAGCATTAAAAAAGCCCCCAGCTCAAATCAATGCCACGAACCTACCTTGGACACTTTCAGGATTTCTGGGTCTTCGTCGCCGCTGGCAGATTCACTGTCCTCACCCAGCAGCTGTTTCGCCTCATCGTCCTCCAGTGTCCCCTCGGTAGCCCGGGCTTTACGTTTTCCAGACGTCCCGCTGCTTGTAGCATAGGGTAGTATATGGACAGATTTGTTATAGCTTCGTGTGAGTGCAGCCTTCACCTGGAAATGAAGCACGGGTCACTCGCAACCTTTACAGTCACAAACCTTCACAGCACTATTCCAAACCGCACTTGTTAGAATAATTTGAAGGCTTTGCGGCCATCGTGCATAAGCGCAACGTTATGAAGTAAATGCAATGCCCAATACGCCAATAAAACAGGACAACATGCCTTCGAGTCGATGGCCTTCATTAGACTGGATCTGCCCTGCCACGAGGTGAGATCCATTATATTATCCATATCCTCTCTCAGCAGTTTATACGCATCCAAGGTTTCAATCACGGTATTGACGTCGCCTATAACGGGAAGATACATTAAGTGATAGTGTCACCGGTAAGTTCAAGCTAACGGGATTTAGGAGTGATGCAACAGGTGGCTGTGCGTGTAAGTAGGGACGAGATCCTGAACAATAACCACACCGAAGATCCTAAGGTAAGATAATAAGGTGGGAACTGTGGAAAACCGGGTTAATAAGGTCAAAAAGAGTCAAAATAGGAAATCCATTTCGACATGACCGAGGCACAGTCACTTCGTACCTTCTTTCAGAGGCGCAGAGAGTCGCACCGCCAAGGGGCCGAGGTAGTCCATCAGGAGACACCGCGGATCAGTGGCTCCGCCGTGCGTGGACAGCCGCATGTGCCTCGAGAGCTCGGAAAGGATGCGGGAGTTTTTGCCCTGGGTCGAGTTCTTCCCGAACCACGAGGGAAACGACACGCCGCCCGGACCGCCTGGCAGCGGACCGCGCAGGAAACGGCCCGGACGCAGGCACGAGAACACCGCCTGGACGGGAAGCAGGGACCAAGCACCGGCGCCCGTTGATTGGATAGTTCTGCCCACGATGTCTCCGGTCGCGATGTCCTCGGAGGCCTTCGCCAAGAGGTCGAGGGTGCGAAATAGGTTACCACTGAAGGACGAATCAGATTGTTGGCTATTGTTAGAAACTACACTGCCAGCACCCACAGGACAACAAAACTAGCTATCTATATGGCTTTGTGGACCGATTCGTTGGATCGAGATTTCGGTCAGCGAAATAGGTTAGACTAATAAACGATCGCTCTGTCTACACCAGGCACCAGACACTTACTTTGCCGCCAAAGGACGAACGTTGACGTAGTTTTCCTGAACGAACAGTGGGCCGATGGAGTAGTCTTGAAAGAATAGATCCATTGACTCGGCAAAGGACGCCGTCTTCCCGTCGGTTTCGGGGTGAAATACCTTCCGAATCACCTCGAAGGGTCCAAGACGCAGGTTCTTGTGAGCGGCAGCGGCACCAGCACTTACATCCGACTCCCTGATGGAGGTGGCATCGCCCATGCACCACATTTGAACGGAATTGATTACCTATAGGGAAAAAATAGACACCACGACAATGCCAGTTGAGTCGTGGATCAGACCAGAGCACAATTCACTTGGGGAAACGACAAGGCCGGAGGATTCAGAGAATGCAGCAATAGTGTTGTAAGTTCTTAGCAGACCGCAGTGCTGACAAGACTTAAATACACGAACCTGCCGTAAATCCTGATTGCTCGCTGTGATGATTTCGTTGAGAGCAGTAGGTCCCACAGAGACACCCTCACGACAGACCATCGAGAGGATGGCGGCCTTGATCTGCTCGACTCGCGGCCTATGGAAACGCAGGTCCAGGCAGTAATTGGCCAGGGAGCGAACCTGCGCAGAAGGGAATGGTACTATTGGTCAAGCATTCAAATTCGCGCAATTGGGTGCAGATAATGCAAAAAGCCTGGAAATAAGTAGAAGCTATCAGTTAGATCAGGTCCGAAGCATGGTCACAAAGGCGACAGAAGGTGCACAGAAGACCCATGTCACTCCCATGTGCCCTTTTGTTTAACTGAACTGCTCCGCTCGCTGGGCACCACTTTTGAAATCGTCTTTTCATGGAGCGAGGTTAATTTTCGACCAAACTATCGCATTCTTGCTTTTAATACTTTGTTATCGTTTAGATCCGAATTTGGGTTTTCAAGAAATCGGGCCCAGTGCGCTTGTCCACGGAAAGGAACCAATCGACGATCAGACAGAAGGTTTACGTGCTACAAAACGGAGCAATTTACCTTGGCGGATTGGCGATCGTTGCAGAGGCAAATGACAGGCACCTTGCTTGTCTTGATTATGCCAATCAACTCTTGCATTCCACCGCGATCCTCGTTACCCGCCATCCCGTCCACCTCGTCCATAATGAGCACGTGCGAAGTCAAGGCCGGGGCGTCAACTGTAAGGTTAAAGTTAGTGCGTGTTCAATTCCTCCTTGTTTTACTGGTCTGGTTGCCCAACTAGGCGCCGTATTTAGTTTCGTTTACTTCATCAGTAGGCTTCTTATTTATCCATATTCAATTATACATTTCTACCATAGCCTAGGATAAGACATTTTACGTTTGGGGAAGATTTGGTTTAAGCGAAGAGCAGCATGCTGAAACCCGTAAGATCTCTTGGATCGTGAGTTTGGCGCCTTCTCCAGCCGATTGCAGGGATCACTGGCTACTGGAATGACCTCTACAGTGGTTGATCCGAGTGGCGAACGAGGACCCGTGGGACAACCAACCTTTTCCAGTGAGCATGTTCGCTAGAGACCGCATTCCCAGAGCCTCAGCGACCTCCTCTTGCAGAGACCGCTTGGACCGCGTGTCGGAGGCGTTCATCTCGATTGTCGACAGACCCAACTCGCGGCACACGACCGTCGCGGTGGTGGTTTTGCCGATCCCCGGCGGACCCGAGAGGAGGGCGGCGCGAGCCCAGGCGCCCGAGTCCGAGGTGCTGCCGGCAGCCCACGGCGGGGCTGACGAGTAGGCCTTGACCTTGTGACCTTGGTTAAGGGGAGAAATATGCGGTCAGGTGGGCGGGCTGAGGTGAGCCAATAGGCGTGTCCACAGGACTCACCAGCCGCAAAGTCCTCCTGCCAGGAGGAAAGCCAAGCGAACAGACGATTGGCCGGACTAGTGGCTCCGCTCTGTCCGACTAGCTGCTTCCGCGTGGTCGGTCGGTACTTCTCAACCCACAATTCATGGCTGCCTCCGGAGTCCGTCCCACCACCACCATCGCCACCTTCCAGCTTCATCCCGCCTTCTTTCGAAGGTCTTGGGACCAACAGCGGCCGGTCGGTGAGGAGAGAGGACGGAGGTGGTGGTGGCGGTGTTGGTGGGGCAGGTTTGTTCGCGACACGAGGGCTCTTCGTATTTCCGATCAGCTCCTCCCGGGAGACGGTCACTGACTCCGACAGGAAGCCGTCATCGTCCTCGGACGCCGGCTCCCCGAAGCCGCGGTAGACAAGATCGAAGAACTCGTCCTCGGTGAGTTGTTTAGTCCCCAGGGCGGTGGCCTTGTCGAGCTTGCTGGCGCCCGACTCACGGCCTACAACCAGGTAGGTGGTCTTTTTGCTCACTGACTTGGTGACTCGACCTCCACCTCGCTCGATGAGGGCCTGGGCGTCGTCGCGATCCAGGCACTCCAGGACACCCGTGATGACAAATGTCTTGCCGTCAAAACAGTTCGACGCATTCTACAGAAGTAGATGTGGAGAAAGACATGGAAGCTTATTGTGCCGATGGCTTAACAGAGGCCTATTCTAGGAGATTTCAACTCTAAAACGACTCACATTCTGATCAACCTACCGGATTTGACGACTAAGTCAAGGGAATTAGTTATTTGGATCGCGTTCATGCAACTCCATGAGTAATTACAGAGAGGCTGGTAAATGTGTCGCACTCACAGCAATCAAAAATCGATAAGAAGCTCGATATTTGAGTGACGAATGAAAACGACCAATCAGAGTGGGCGACATACATGGACAATTAACATCGGAAATTGCTGGAAGAAAACACACAGCAAATCACAATAGAATGATCTTTCACCAAGACAATGCACATCCTTCCACGTGTTTGGTGACGCGATCGTACACCATCAGATTTGAAGTGGTAGCGTGGTTCAGAACATTTTTGCAATGCCCTGAAGCTTTCATCAGATTTCCAGAAAGGCCATTAGACAAATGGTTCTACTTCACGACTGTAATTAGGTCCCAGCCAATCCGCAACTCTAGATCCACTAGTGGTGGAGTTTGCGGGCCACAGAAGACGCTCGAGGGCAGTCAGTGGTGGCAGAAGGCTTTCCGCAAACACCACAAGCGTACCTTTGGTATGGGTCTCGATCCAAGTGCCCTGGGTCCATCCCTGGCCTGAAAGGCCCAGAAGGCCGCTCTGCTACCGCCGGGGGTTTTGGGGGTCGCGTGATCCGGCGTGGATGCAGCGGAGGCCTTCTTCCTCGCACTTGGTGGAGTCGTGTGGGAGATGGCGTCCCTCTCCTTCACCCTATGGACAGACTGAAACACAGGAGGCAATGACGACTCCGTGCTCACAACTGCCGGTGTGATCAGCAACCCTCTATGATGTGCTAGACCGCCTCCCAAGTTTGCCTGAAACACTGACACAAGAAATAACATCTGTCATGTCATTTCTACACAACCATTTGTTTTAATGAACTGACTTCCGGTAGAATACAGTTTATTTGGCCTCTCAGCAGATAACGTGAACTTCTTTGACGTCGTTACTTTCCGGCGTATCTGTCTGCTAGGGTCTAAGCCCCAACTGTTGCTTACAAACACCTTAATCTGTTCAACTGTAGATTCTCAGAGAGGTAATTTAGGGCTAAGAAACTATTTTAGCATAGGTTTACAAAATATTTAACTTCAGCGGTACCTTTCGCGCTGGTCTACTTGTCGACGTGGAGGAGGTCAGTACATGCCACTTGACAGCTATGTAAATTGGCGAAAGGATTGGGTGGTTTAAGATCGAGTATCTATAGATTTTGACTCAGATTGGACACCGTACCCACTGTCCAATGGCAGCTTAGTGGAGGGCATTTAAGCTAGCAAATTATCGATTTTTCTGCCGTGCAAATGAATGAACTGAGGAAACGACACGAGTAAGCCACAGTCAGTCTAGATGTTTATAATTAAAATGAAAAAAAAACCCAGTTAAAATTACGAAGAGACTTTTCTAGCTGGAATACGTCGCGTAGCTGAACTAACCTCTTTTGGAGAGGTTGGAGAAGTTGGACTAGCAAAGACTTTATTTGATGAGGCCGCGGGTTTTGTCGGTGAAGTAGAGGGCCGAGGGAGGTGTTCCTTTTTTCTACTTTGACGTCGAAGATTTTCCGGTGATGGAACAAGAGGTTTTTCGACGGACGAAGCAGAGAGGCATATGTCGTCGTCACCTTCAACGGCGACGCTCGATGCTGCTTTCTCTTCATCTGGGGTTTCGGCAACCAAAGTAACTGGTTTTGTATGCGGAGGTGTTGTGGTGGTGGTTGACTAAATGAGATGGAAAATTACATCCACGAACCAGCCGCAATGCCAATAACCATGGGTTTAATACAGACCAGACTTTTCATTGGTAAAAGCATCAGCTAAAACGACTTCTTAACTAAAAACAAACTTTTGAGAATATAAACTACTCCCAGGACATATAAAAACATTAATAAAAAAAAGCATTTTTCAAAATGGATCCACCAGAGCGGCGCACCTTGTGCGGCTTCGACGAAGCAAAGAAATCATCCACTGCTATTTCCTTTTTCTGCTGCTGAGCTTGCACATTTGAGGAGGACTGAGAAGCTGAAAAGTAGTGATGAAGGGTCTTCGGTTTTATGGGTTCACTGATCTTTTTGGATTCGGCAATTTTCAAACTCTCCTCAAAAGTCAGCTGAATTTTGCCCCGAGGACCTTCATCTGGATCTCCAAGATCAGCTGGGAATACAGATCGTCGCCGTTTAGAGGCGGGTTTTTCTGACCTTTCAGACTGTATTTCCTCGCCTGCTACACCTATGAATGGGGTAATTTTGGGAAACGTGAACACACCTTCTTCAAAAGTGGGAATTTTCCGTTTAGGTACTCTTGGTGCACGTTTTTTGGGTATCGTCTCAGGTTCCAGACCTAACGCAAATAAGCAATGGAAAAAAGTTGCCTTCAGAGTCAGAATTTCTCTTGTCCTTCTTTTTCTTCGGCTTCACTTTTGGAGACTGAAATTCATCATCTATTGTACAGGAAAACATATATTGCGTAAAATTGTGTTTGATGTTAATATCCTTGTGTTTTCTGCTTCAGAGCACTTGAACGACGAAGTGCTCAAACAGAAGTGTACAATTCTAAACAAAAAATCATGACTCCACTACCAAAAAGTTTGTGGGACAAGTGACAAAAAACAATCCAGATCGAGTTTTACTTAAATCAGTTATTCTCAGGCAAAACTACCAGCTTGTTGAAAGCGGCCAAGCTAAGATTAACGATTTTCATCGATGTGTACCATTATTGAGGAAAGGAGAGTCACGAATGCAAAAATGGAAGGCGCTTCGCAAATTAATTTCAAATACATAAACAACATTAATTAAGCTAATAAATAAAGCCGATTAAGAAGGCAAATGGTAATTAATGCAGGGGTTTCATGAACATAGTTCCCAAAACAAACTCAACCAGAAAATATGTTCAATAATCCGCATACATTAGTCGCTTTTTATTCTACTTCATTCGATGACAGTTTTACTACGTGTAAATGGTCAAAATTACTTAATAAAATGAAGCAGCAAACACACGAGTCACCTGAATTTGAGTCGTCAATTACAGCCCGCCTTCTAGACTTGGGCATCGAACACACTAAGGCCACCAGATGGGTGTGGTGTTGTGGTGTGGCGTCGGATTAAAGCGCAGACATATTGGACCACGCTGGCCTCAGCCAATCCTGTGTCCCTCTGCGTTCCAATAGCTTGCGAGGAAGGTAAGCAGCCAACCAGAGAAGGACATGGATGAGATGCAGTATATAATTAGCGGCGTGGTCAGCGTGGTGGACTCGGATGGAAGGTGCCTGACGCGTGGCTCTGGCTTTTGATTGGTCAATAAAGCCTGTTCTGTTGTACCGGTCTTTTACCTATTAGGGCTCAGGTATTCTACA